AAAAAATAAAAAAAAATAAAATGTCTATACTACCCAAACCAATCGACAAATGTAATGCAGTCCCCATCAAAATGCCACCAGCATTTTTCAGAGCTAGAATAAATAAACATAAATTTGTATGGAACCACAAAAGACCCCAAATAGCCAAAGCAATCCTGAAAAATAAAAACAAAATGGAGACATCACAGTTCCAGATTTCAAGCTATATTATAAAACTGTAATCATCAAGACAGTATGGTATTGGCCCAAAAACAGACACATAGATCAATGGAACAGAAAAGAAAAAAGGGAAGAATATTCAACTGAAAGAAAGATAATCTCTTCAACAAATGGTGTCAGGAAAACTGGACAACAACATGCAGAAGAATGAAACTGGACCACTTTCTTACACCATACACAAAAATAAATTCAAAATGGATGAAAGACTTAAATGTGAGACAGGAAACCATCAAACTCCTACAGGAGAACACAGGCAACAACCTCTTTGACCCTGGCTAGAGCAACTTCTTATTCGACACGTCTCTGGAGGCAAGGGAAACAAAAGCAAAAATGAACTACTGGGACTTCATCAAGATAAAAAGTTTCTACACAGCGAAGAAAATGATTTAAAAATAAAACACACACACACTAAAAAGCAGCCCACAGAATGGGAGAAGATATTTGCAAATGACATACCAGATAAAGGGTTAGTATCCAAAATCTATAAAGAATTTACCAAACTCAACACCCAAAAAACAAATAATCCAGTGAAGAAATGAGCAAAGGACATGAATAGACACTTTTGCAAAGAAGACATCCACATGGCTAACAGACACATGAAAAGATGCTCAACATCACTTATCATCAGGGAAATACAAATCAAAACCACAATGAGATATCATCTCACCCCTGTCAGAATGGCTAACATTAACAACACATGAAACAATGGACGTTGGCAAGAATATAGAGAAAGGGGAATCCTCGTATAGTGGTGAGAATGCAAACTGGTATAGCACTCTGGAAAACAGTGACCCAGAAATTGCACTGCTAGGTATTTTATCCAAAGGATACAAAAATACTGGTTCAAAGGGACACATGCACCCTGATGTTTATAGCAGCGTTATCAACAAAAGTCAAATTATGGAAAGAACCCAAATGTCCATCAACTGATGAATGGATAAAGAAGTTGTGGTATGATAGATATAGATATAAAGATCTACAATGGAATATTACTCAGCCATCAAAAAGAATGAAGTCTTACCATTTGCAACAATGTGGATGGGGCTACAGTTTATTATGCTAAGCAAAATAAGTCAGAGACAGAAAAATACCATATGATTTCACCCATATGTGGAATTTAAGAAACAAAGCAGATGAACATAGGAAGGTAGGGGGAGGGGGAAAGAGGAGGAGGAAAACCACAAGAGAGACTACAGAACAAACTGAGGTTTGATGGAAGGAGGTAGATGGGGGATAGGCTAAATGGATGATGGGTATTAAGGAGGGCACTTGTGATGAGCACTGGGTTTCTTAAAGAAATACGCCTAAGTAGTTAAATGATTGGTATATCATAGATTAAGAGAAACACTAGGCATCACTGTAGACCAAATACAATATAGGTGTCATTCTACTGTGGTAGTTTAATTTCCTAAAAAAAAAAAGAACCCACTAAATTTATTTAATAAAATGGAAGTTTCCAAATCTGTTGGCAGCAGATTCTTTTTTTTTTTTTTTTTTTAATGATCTTTATGTAAAGCTGGCCTTTCTATTCTGTGTTTTAGGACATTATCAACTCAATGGTAACAACAGTATTCATGATAATCATATCTATATTGGCACTGATACCAGAAACTTCAACATTTATAGTGCTTGGAGGGGTAAGTGGAGGCCTTCCTGATTTCTTGCTTTAGGTTTAATTAGAATTCAAATTTGCTTGAAAAAATATATAGAAGAACAGGAATCTACACTGTATTCATCCTTGGCGCTCCTATGCCAGTATATAGTACCTAATGGCTTAATATATTTTTGTATGAGTATATGCCCTGATTAATGTGAAAGAATATGACTTCACCCAAAAACTGAAGTTAACCAAATATAAGTTCCTATATATTCCAGCTAGACTAGACTGAGAAAAGCTACTGGAATACATTACACTTAGCTCTGAGAAACTTGATGTCAAGCAGAAAGCCATGGATGACTTTCATAGCTCTCCCTTTTAAAGAAAAGGATACATACCACTTGTTAAGGTGAGACAGACTGCTCTGAACTCAGTTATTTCTTGTCCAGATCCTTCTTCAGATGGAATGTAATACAAGATGTCTCCTGATAAGGTTAGAAGAAGCCTTATATTATTTTGAACACTGCTTGAAGAGAAGCAAGGCAGTTTAATCAGACTTGATCCTGGAAGGCAAGCCAAAATAAAAAAGAGTCAAATAATATGGTTTTAGTTCCATCTGATACTCTTCTGAGATTTCTTATAGGAGGTTCAAAATCATTTGGGTTTTCTAGATTCTGATCTAAAGATGTGAATTAGAAAGTTCTTAAATAAATCTCCATCCTACTTCCTTATCTTTCCATGGTGTGGGCCACTTGGAAGAACCAACCATTCTCAGCCAGCCATCTATGTCAGAATCCATAGTTTTTCATCTCCTTCCTAAGCCCTAAGCAACTTCATAAGGGATAAAAATCATTCTAGAAATGATAGTGCTGTAACAGCAAGTTTTCCCTGTTGTCTTTAATCTTATTCCTCTACTATAGAGAAAGAGGGACAAGGCACAGGATTTACAGTTGACCCTTTACAACGTTGACCCCCAACACAGTTGAAACTTTTTAAACTTTTACTTCCCAAGAACTTAACTACTAATAGCCTACTGTTGCCAGAAGCACTGATAACATAAATAGTTAATACCTATTTTCTATATCATATGTATTATATGCTGTATCTTACAATAAAGTGAGCTAAAGAAAACATTATTAAGAAAATCATGAGGAGAAAATACATTTGTCGTACTGTACTACATTGGAAAAAAAAAAATCCATACATAAGTGGACCTATGCAGTTCAAACCCGTGTTGTTCAAAGGTCATGTGTACTTTATTCATTCAGATTCATTCTTTAAAAAGGCGTACTTTGAGGGGGGTGCGTGGGTGGTTAGTCAGTTAAGCTACCGACTTTGGCTCAGGTCATGAGCTCACTCGTGAGTTTGAGCCCCGCAACAGGCTCGCCACTCAGTGCAGAGCCTGCTTCAAATCCTCTGTCTCCCTCTCTTTGCCCCTCCTCAACTTCTGCTCTCTCTTTCTCTCAGAAATAAACATTGAAAGAGGAAAAAAAAGGTGTACCTTGGTGGATGCTGACAAAGTACAGAGCTGTGCTGTCCAGTGCAGTAGCCACAAGCCACATGTGGCTATTGAGCAATGGAAATGTGGCTGGTCTGACTGAGATGAGCTATATACGTAAAATACACACTGGATTTCAAAGACTTACTACAAAATAAATGTAGAATATTTCATAATAGCTTTATTATATTGATGACATGTCAAAATTATATTTTAGGTAAATTGGGCTAAACAAAATATTCTATTAAAATTAATTTCACTTTTTTTCCTTTTTAGTGTGGCTATTATAAAATTTTAAATTATGTGACTGACATTGGTGACTCACATTATATTTCTTTTGGACAGCACTAGAGTAGACCATGAGCCCACCCTATCCTCAACTTGCTTAGAGCCTAATACAGGAAACAGAAATGAAAACGGCTGTTTATAGAAATGAAAACAGCTGTTTATAAGCTATTGACAGGGTACTGTGGGGCACAGAAAAGAGGAAGCAACTACCTCTCTTTGGCAGCCAAATTTCAATTTGTCAGGAATACAGGGGAGGAAAGGGGGATGGTTCCGGGTAGAGGAACCAGCAACATGCAGAGTACCAGAGGCACAGGATAGGTAAGAGGTACTCAGTGTGGTCAGAACCTAAGAAGCTGAGTTTGAGATTCAGAATGGAAAATGGAGTGGTTATCCGGAGCCAAGAAGCCCAACTTCCAGACCATGGCCCAGCTTTCAAATAGCCATCAGCGTACCTAAAGACCTGGTTCTAGCTTATTCTCTTTACCTTAATTTTTTTTTCCCTGAGGCCTATTTAGAATTAGTTAAGTGTATGTTCAGTGCATGATCTTCAGTAGGGCTCTAAATAGGACATGTCGGAGCAAGTCAAGAGATCCAGGCCAGTATTTCAGAGCTCACACCACCTCAATATTATTTCTGCTCAGTTATCTTTTTCTCTAGGCAGGTATTGGGAAAACTTGGAAGTAAGAATAAAATGATCTCTGAAGTCTCTTCCCCTTTTAGTATTAGGTGGAAGCTGAGGTAGCAATCTCAGTACCCTAGCAGGAGAGGAAGCCAATGGGCAAGACCATTTAAGCCTACGTGAATGACCCAAGTCCAGACCATGGTCACAGCAATGACAAAGTGTGTTTGTTTCCAGGTGTTTGGACTCCTGGCAGCAGTCTGCTGTATTGCCGACGGAGCCCTTATTTACCGGAAACTTCTACGGAATCCAAGTGGTCCTTATCAAAAAAAACCTATTCATGACAAAATATAAGTTTTGTAATTTTATATTACTTTTTAGTTGATGGCAACTATTAAATATATTTCTTTATTCTTTCACATATTTTCTGCAGTTGTTCTCACTTTAATCTCAATATGGGAGCTGGAAGAAGAGTGGCCAGCGCTCACCCATACTGTAACTCCCAAGGGAGCCCTGGGAGCACCAGGACCTGATCGGATTGGGTTTTCCTGATCCGGGGCTGGGGTGGCATAGAAGAACGCAGCCGGACCAACGTAAATGGTTTCCGGAGCCCCCTTCCTGGCTGGCTGGCAGCACGGAGGTGTGGGATTGCAGGGACAGGGAGCTCCCAGGCTGGGCAGCGGCATCGCGTCCCAGGTGGCAAAGAGGGTGGCTTGGAGGGCTTGGTCTGTCCGCAGGCCGGGAGAGCTGGGTGCGCGCGAGGGAGGGGCGGCCGGCAGCCGTTGGGGCACGACGCTGCCTCCCACACGGCCTGGCCGCCGCGGCCATGCAGACTCAGGGCGGCAGGGCCAGCCTCACCAAGTCAGGCTCGGGGACCACCCAAAGTGCCCCAAACACCAGAGCACCCTCAGGGGACTTGCAACAACGGCAGCATACAGAAGGCCCACGGCAATCTGCGGGGGCGGTGCAAGCCTCCCTCTCAGGGCAGCCCGTACGCCCCGCGCCTCCAGCACCCAATGCGCCGCCGCCTGCAGTCGCAAGGGCGCAGCCTGCAGTCTCCCAGGCGCCCCGGGGAAAGCAACCGCAGGGGACCCAGAGCGCAGGGGAGGCCGCTATCCGGAAGCGTGCTGAAGAACGGGCTAAAGTCCCGCTCAAATTCAGGGACAGTTTCAAGGACTTTTTCTTCCTGCCCACGGGAGTGTTGAAGATCCTGCGGCTGGTGAGCAGAGAGAGCTGGTGATACAGGGCGGGTGCGCCTCAGGGAGTGATTCCCAGAGGGGGCCACCTCCGGAAAGCTTCCCTACCTCCCTTTGCCGGCCACTTTTGTTTTGCCCCACCCTTCCCCTCCTCTCACTCAACCCTATTACTAAATCAGCACTGTTTTTCCTTTTATATTCCTCAGGTTTTCCCTCACACAGGGAATGAGGAAAGCAGTGAAGATAATATCAGAAATGTATAAATTAGCAAACAAAACTAATAGAATTGACCAAAATTGATAAACCAATGGCCGGTATAATAGGGGAGAAAAAAGTGAAGAGAGGACATTTATTTAAAGTTAAAAACCAGACTGGGAAAATAATCACAAAGGATGAAGAAACTGAGAGGATACCCAAGACTACCTTGCAAAACAAATAAATGAGTAACTGAACAAAATACTTGACTTTCTAGGAAAATATAATTGCCAAAACTGACCCAGAATAGAGAAAAACCTAATCAGACCAATAAAAACACAGAAGAAAAATGAGAACTAATCACAGGAGTATCTTTCAAAATATATCAGGGCCAGGCTTCTTCACACCATTAACTCTTTCAAACTTTCATGGGATGTAATTCTGATACTACTAAAACTTTTTCAAAGTATGGAAAAGGAAAGAAGCCCTTCTGAATTATTTTTTCAAAGTTGTATGTAACACTGGGGCACTTAAGTGGTTCCGTCGGTTAAGCATCTAACTCAGGATTTTGGCTCAGGTCATGATCCCAAGGTCATGGGATCAAGCCCCGAGGAGTGACCCACACTCTGTGGAGCCTGCTTAAGATTCTCTCTCCCTCTCCCTCTGCCCTTCCTTGTTCATTCTCTCTCTCTCTCCAAAAAGAAAAAAGAAAAAAAAAGGTAGTGGAACACTGATATCAAAACCTGACCAAGTCAGAAAAAGAAAATTAGAAATCTCACTGGTATCAAAGTAACAAGAACAAGTATCAATATATTAGCAGAAAATATTCATCGATACTTTAAAAAAATGCACTATAATGATTCAGTATTAGGACTCTATTAAACTAACCCAATATATATAATAGGTAAAAGGAGAACAAATTAGGAGATTATATCAAATAAGGAAAAGAACACATTTGACAAAATTCAACATTTCTGAGGGTCTCTTTCTGACCCTCATGGGATTCTCTCTTTCCCACTCTCTCTCTGTCTCTGACCCTTGCTCACCTGTGCCCTATCTCTCTCTCTCTGCCCCTCATTGGATTCTCTCTCTCTCCCTCTCACTCACTTGCACCCACTCTCTCTCTCTCAAAAAAAAAAAAAGCCAACAGGCTTATGGGGTACCTAAGTGGCTCAGTCCTTTGAACATTCAACTCTTAATTTTGGCTCAGATCATGATCCCAGGGTTGTGAGATCAAGGCCCAAGTCTGACTCCATGCTGAGCGTGGAACCTGCTTGAGAGTCTCTCTTCCTCTGCCCCTCACCCTTGCTCTTGATTTCTCTCCCTCTCTCTCTCTCGAAAAACAACAAAAAACAAAACCAGGCTTAGTTTGGGGAACTTAACCAAGACACAGACATGGGGGATATAAACAATCTGAGAATGAGTGCTGAAAGGGGGATTAGGTCAGAAAATAATATAATATAAAATGGATTTCCTGTAATTTCAAAAGTACTAGAGAAGAAATTGGCAACTCATTAGGACAGAATAGTCTCAACTAGATCCAAATACATATAAGAATTTAGTACATGATAAAGGTTGGATTTCAAATGAGGGGGACATACTAGTGTTTCCCAGTAAATGATGTTGGGATAATCAACAACTGTTTGGAAAGAAAACTGGGGCTTTACCTCACTCTATCAGATCAGCATATATTTACTCTGTTTTACTTGCATGTACTTTCCAGTATGTTCTTTCCAGTATGAAATAAACACAGTGACCAGCTGTTACTTTTAAGGAAATAGGGGTGCTGGTTGGCTTACAGCATCCGACTCTGGCTCAGGTCATGATCTCATGGTTCGTGAGTTCAAGCCCTGCATTAGGCTCTGTGCTGATGCTCAGAGTCTGGTGCCTGCTTCTGATTCTCTGTCTCCCTTTCTGTCTCCCACTTACCCTCTGTCTCTCTCTCTTAATGATAAATAAACATTAAAAAAAAAAAAAGGAAATAGACTAGGGTGTGTTGAGGAAGAAGAAAGAAATGGGTGTTATTTTTTATTCTTCTATACTTAAATGTGCATTTTTATTATTTCCATGTATTATTTTAGTTCTTGAAAATATGAGAAATTTTACAAATAAAATGTATGTACAAAATAATATAGGCAATTGCCATTTGGTCAGATTTACCTTCTGACAGTTTATGGGTTTGCTTTGTTTTCTAATAGCCCATGTGAACTAAAACAAATCCTGTTTCTTTTATTGCAGGCTCTCATCATAGGAGCATTAGCGTGTTTCATCACTGCTAAAACCCATGAGTTGTATATAGCCATCACAGTTCTGGAAATCTGCATCGTTCTTTTTTTTATTATAACATATATGCTAACCCTTCACCACTTGCTGATTTGTTTAGATTGGTCCTTACTCGTAAGTGTTCATTTTCATAATTTGAATGTAAGCTTTGCCCTCGGTCCCAGAGTAACGTCTCCCTGCAAGAGAAAACCAAAGAGCTATCTCTCTGGAAAAGGACTTAACAGGGTGTTGTTAGAGCAACTGCTCTAACAAATTATAAACACTTCCCCCTGCAAAAGAAAGAGCTGCCATGGCGAAGTTGTAGAAACTTGTCACGCGTACCCTGAAAGATTGCAGGAGTCCGTCTTTTCAGGGGTATGAAGGGTCCATATTCCTAAAGGGGCATCATATGAAGTCACACAATGCCATACGATGGTGTTGCCTTCTTCAGTAGCTTTTTCTGGAATTTCATATTCTTTACTGACTGCAAACTTCCTGAAGCTAACCCCTCAGATCTCGGATAAATCCTATTTCTTGTGGAGCCTGAGGTTCTGCATCCTCGCAGACTAGAGGAGAACTACAGTTGTGTCCAGACAGCCTCAGCTTCTCCATCTAGGAAATTCAGCAAAGGAAAGGGGTGGTCATAGTAACTCCCTGACAGGGTTCTGTAACACTTAAGTGTGTTTAAAACAAATAGCACAGTGCTCGGCACAAAGTAAACATTCACTTGCAAAGTGTCCGTCAGACCCCATAAAGTAGTTGGGTGGCTTTTACCATTTTATCTTGTACTGTGAAATCCTAACTTATAGCTCAGGCCTCTCCCACATCCTACTTCCTTTTTCTAACCCTAAGGTAGGATTGGTTGCTATTAAGCTAAAACTCAAAATATTTCCTTCAAGGTATGAGGGATTTTCTGAAAAGGCTGCTGGGCTCTCTTTAGCCCACATAGGGCAGAACAACAGGAAGCAGACAAAGGAAAATATAAGCAACTCTAACTGGACATACGGAAGGCCCTCTTAGCTATGGAGAGCTGTGACAATAAAGAGGTTTCTGAAGGGAAATGAAAATCTCTGCCCATGGAGATTTTCGAGAAGGGCAGGTAAATGAACTGTTTTGAGCACACACCACGTGCCAGATACTTTGTCATACGTGTTACCTTATCTAATCCTCACAACAACCCAGTGAGGCTGTAGATGCCCCCACTCCCTATTTAACAGATGCGAAAACTAGATAAAGTTGCCAGTGGCAATACGCACTCACATGGAACCTCAGATTTGAGCCCGGCCTGTCTGACTCAGGCCTGGCTTTCACCCAGGCGTTTTGTCTTACGATGGTTTCTCTATCTCCATCCCCCCTTCACTGTTGCCGTCCTCAGAGTCCCTAAATTTTATGTTCTCTGTATCTTCTCCTGTTTCTTCATGGTTTCCTTAAAATGTGGAGCCGGAGGTGAACTGATTACCCTGAGGGGTGGGTACAGGCCCTTAAGGTAGGTGAGTGAGGGCTCCACAGCACCAAGGGCAGCAGCTGTGGTCAGGAGGACTAGGGCCCTCTGAGAAAAGGTCCACTGCCGTAAAGCTGGAGACCTGGATGGCGCCTGAGGCACCATGCTTTTCTATAGTGTCCAGGGGAGTATCTAGGAAGTGTCTCAAGCAAAGGCAACCACTGGGGGCTCCTAAGAATAAGCCAAGAAGGTCCTGTGAGAGGGGCTGTTCTTTTAGTGGTCAAGGACAGCTCAGGCCAGCTTTTGTAGAATTGCAGGCCTCTGGTCAACTCTGATAAAGCCAGGCCCCCTTTTGCTACCTCTGTCCTTGAGTCAGAACATTCTCTTTCCTTTAGATGACTATGGGAGCCCAAAGTGTGATTCAGAGTCCTTGCCTTTTTCTTACTACTATCTTCAGGTATGTGGGCCAGAGTCTGGAAGAACACATAAATATGTCTGGTAAGCTCCCAGCAGCTTCATAGTTGGGGAAACTAAGTGGGTTGATCAGCTATTCTAATGTTCCATTGACTAACAGTGCACGTACTAAGCCACCACGTACTAACCGACATAGTTGGTCAGATGGTGTGTGATCTACTTGACTTGGCAAGTTTTTTTCAAAGGCTCATCAAAACAGGATCCAAACTGTCTTCTCCTATCCTATCCCTTCCTTTCTAATCTTCCCTTTCAGATTCTGTAAGATGAAGGACTTGTACATATGAGACTGTTCAGAAAGGCAGTTACCGCTGGGTGGTAACAGGGAGGTCTTGGCACCGGAGGCACTGTGCTGGTTTAGGGACAGCACAAACCAAACAGTGGTTTGGTGCCTATGAGATAACTCCTTGTCACTTCAGAGAGTAGGCGGACTTGTAAATGTGTTGGCATCAAGCTGTAGAAGTCCCTTGGGACCTTGTGGAAAGGTCAGTGTGGGAAGACAGGGAACATGTGCCTTATTTCGCACTGAACCTGTTTTAGGGCTCCGTATAGGCTCAAAGGACCGCCCACTCACTAGAGGGATCCAGAAAGCACAGTCGCCACGTCTTTCAGTCCTGCTTTCCTAGCAAGACGGTTTGGTGCCCCCACGGCATAAGATTAGGGTAAGTAGTACTGATTGTAAATGGCGATTCCCCCAAAGGCTCACAAGAATATAGAGTTCCTTATTCCTCTATTCCCATTCTTGTTTGGTAAGGGGCTACTGATGAAAATTCCCAGCAGGGAAATAGAAAGTTTGATAAATCAGGACTTCAGATGTTCAGCAGGGTAGCGTCAAGAGTACTGACCTCATACACAGACTGGGGCCTTGTTATGGCAATGCCTCCTTCTCTGAAGAGATGATGTAGCCTGGGCTTGGGGACCCATACCCCAGTCTCAGTTGCATCTTCCTTCTGTGAAGGCTATGCCAGTGACCTTGACAGCCAAGGGCCTCACCTCTCAGACTCCTTGACTTAATATCATGGGTCTTCATCAGAGCTAATGAGAACACAGCTTTCCACACCCCACCCATGGTGGGGTCACTGTCTTCATGTTTATACTTCATCATCAATTTTACCTGCTAATCTAGTGTCATTTGTCAACATACCCAAGAAAAGTATGAACTGTAATTATCTTCTGAATTGTCCATATTTTTAACATTTCTACATTATAAAAAATACTATCCAATATGGTCAGAGAGACTGAGTTCTGGTCAAGCAGATGTTTTTGTCATTAGAAAGCAATAAAAAAAAACATAATAAATAAACTAAAACTCTATATAAGTGATGATTCCAAAACTACCAGCAATATCTTTACATTTATAAGTAGGAAGTATCAGCTTTAGAATGTCCACTTCAAATAAGATTAATGAAAAAGCACAGTTCTGGTAGTTTCTGATCAGGTTACGCCATGTGTTTGGAGAACTCCAGGCACAAATGGAATCAACGAAAGTTGCAGATAGTTGAATACTTACAATGTTTATTATATACAAATTCTTGTTAAAATGCCTTATTTTATAAAACAAATAGTGTTCAAATTTTTTCTAATATGCAGTGATTTTTGAAAATATGCATTCACCATTAAAGCATCTCTTTCTTGCCCAGTTATACTTCTACACAATTTTGTTTATCTCAGCAATTTGGGAGCTTTATGGAAAAATAATAGTCGAGTAACAGATCCATCTCTCATTTTAGTCAGAGAAGGCTACTTGAGTCAGTAGGGTATTGTCAAGGGGGGAAGAAAAGATGATGAGTAAAGATAGCATTCACTGTCTTTACTCATAAAGTCCTCCTGCCTGTGAAAAGGCTTAGATGCAGTTTTACTCCATCGGAGAGAATGTATCTCTCCCACCTCCTTCCCTCTCTCTCACTCTACCCGCCCCCCCCCCACCCCATCAGAGATGAGGCCAACACAATGATTTGTCTAAAACAAAAGGGAGAAGGGGGATTAGTCCAGAGAAGGCCCCTGGATACTCAACTCAGGCTGCAGAGAGACCTCGCCACTTGCTGGGTGACCGACCCCAAGCATGTTGCTTAGCCATCTATAAACTGGGGATAATGAGAGTTTGTTGTGAGAATCAAATGAGATTAACACCCTGGCACAGTATGTAACACACTGGGAGTGTTCAAGAAATGTGAGCTATGAAAGAAATGTTAGAAATAAGGCAAACATTGGCGCCAAAGGACAGTTCAGGGGAGCACTTCCTTGTAAGCAAGGACCAGAGGAAACTAGAGTAAGGATAGACTAAACTAACATCTACTATTCCAGTGAAGAGATTGGAATTATGACAGAGAGTCAACGATTGGCTAGCGAAGCCTAGTCTGCATTTGATTTATTAGTATTATCATTATTCATTTGCTTTCATCTAAATTCTCAATGATCTATGGCCACAGATAGTTAATTTTTAAAAGTTAATTTTAAAAAGTTTACACTCTGCCTCTTAGTTGTAAAAGTCCTTGTTCAGATTTTTTAATATTGGTTTACACAATCCTAAAGCACTAACCTTCTCGCAAAACTGTAAGCCCGTGTACCTGCTCCACTGTGGGCAGACCTCTCATTCAGCCCACAGAACCCGCTGGAACTTACTTCTAACCCTCACCATCCCTGCTCCTTGTCCCCCTTTCAGTGTTACCCACCAGGTACCCAAATAATTAGTGCCCCTCCAAGAGGCAAGTCATATTCCATAATAGGGGTAGGGTTCCTTGCTCAGCAATCCCAACAGGAACAACACCTGAGGTTTGCAGAAAGTTCACCAACTGTGTACATTTTGAGGGCAAATATCGTTAAGTCCACATTACGATGAACTCTCATGACCCACTAGATGCCAGGCATTTATCATCTGGTATTTTCCAATTCATTACACCATTTAATCCTCAGATCAATCCAATGAATCCCAATCACTATCTCCATATTAAAACTGAGCATGTTGACAATAAAACATGGCCAAGATCACATACCTAGGAACTGACAAGGCAAAAGAGTTAATCAACAAAATTCATTCCCACCGTACATGTCCCATGCCATGTGCATCCTCTGTGACCCATTCTCCGCAGAAAATGCCCAAGATGGATGCTGCACTTCCAATGGGGGTGGGGAGGAGATAGTTCATTTCCTTCTTATTTGAGGGTCTCTGATGGGAGGCAATAGACAATAGGGAGCTCTAACTCCTTGACAGATAACCAATCTCAGGCAATTTAATAAACCTCTCTAAGCCTCTGCTATGTCCTCTTAAAATAGAGATCAAAACAATACTGAGTTTGGAGGGTGTTTGCGAGGGTTAAGTAAGATAATGACCGGGAAACACATGGCACATTGAAGAGCTCTGTTAGAGCCATTTATGATTCTATTTATTCTATTCTATTCATGATGGCAAGGCTCCTTGCTGTATTTGGGCAAGTGCACCAGACAGACTGACGCTACCAAGTCAAGACATCAAGACTTAAGGACTTAAAATGTTCCAATTAGCTGTCAGCCCCATATCATGGTGCTATCACCCCAGGCTTTTGACCCTCCCCACATTAGTGCCACTGACACATTGCACCCCCACTTTTCCATTACTGCTCCATTACCAAAGTCCAGCCTCTGCTTATCCTCATGAGTGGCTCCCATCTACCATCCTCACACTTTATTTAGCACACAAATCAGTAGACTGGGTTAGCAATTAAAGAACTCAGTACTGAAATCCAAAAGGAAGGACAAAGACAGCCTATAAATGCCAGGGCACATTCAGATATGGCCATTTCTTAGGAAAAGAGCAAAAGTCAATGGCACAGACATTCACTCGAGAATACCAGGCCTGCTCCTCAGATGAGTTCCTTCCTTCTTGGGATATAAGAACCTACAGAATAAATAAGACCCAGCTTCCAGAGTATTGGTTGTACCTGCAGATTTGGGAGTGCAATTAAATGAGTAAAGTGCTAATCTAAAATTTAATTTTCATATTAAAAATGTATTGTGGAGGGGCGCCTGGGTGGCTTAGTCGGTTGAGCATCCGACTTTCGCTTAGGTCATGATCTCACGGTTCGTGGAGCCCCGCGTCGGGCTCTGTGCTGACTGTCAGCTCAGAGCCTGGAGCCTATTTCAGAGTCTGTGTCTCCCTCTCTCTCTGACCCTCCCCTGCTCATGCTGTCTCTCTCTCTCTCTCCTAGAAATAAATAAAAAAATATTTTAAAAAAATGTATTGTGGAATAAAATGCAGAATTGACATTAGGTTAAAATATAAGTTTTTTAAAAATCACATTTATGGAAGTCCAATTTCAGTAGGCCCCCTACCCCTAGGTTATTTTCATGCTCATTTTCCTGTGCCCTTTAAGAAGAATATGATGGGAAAATTGTCAGCTATTTTTTTAAATGGTGTTCTTTAATGAAACTAAATCCATTTCTGCTGACAAAGGACCTTAAAATCACAGAAACTCATGTCTTGGAAGATACAAGAACTATGCTGCTAATGGTTCCTCTTAATATTAATCAAAAGTAAAGTTTTAAAAAGGCATCCATCCTTAGGTAGGTAATTGGCCAACTTAAGTATTTTGTGAAATCACATTTTCATGTAAAGTTGACAGCTGTCAATTTTGTATTACAGGATCTTATCAACAGTTTCATTACAGCTGTGTTCCTTTTAATAGTTGCCATCCTGGCGATGCAAGAAATGGAAAGAAGGCATTTATTCTATGCTGGAGGGGTAAGTTGAAGCCTTCATGACCGCAGTTAAGATCAGTGTTTCAAAACTCTTTGCAAAGGGAAACTGACAATGATTATTTCATTTACACAGTAACATACCTACCACCACCCCTTCTCTTTCTTGCACTTACTTCTTCAGAAGATGTGAAGTCGCATAAACTCTAAGCTCATGAAAATCTTCATTCTAATACTCATTCTCCAAATAGGTACAAACTCTCCTTTTTAGAATCGTACACACTATTTTTTTTAAATGTTGCAACAAGGTGTTCTTGTCTATAAACAGAACTTTGACTTTTTTAGACGAGAGAATTGTATTTTTAAAAAAGCACATGAGGGGCGCCCGGGTGGCTTAATGGGTTAAGCATTTGACTCTTGATCTCTGCTCGGATCATGATCTCATAGTTTGTGGGATCAAGCCCCATGTCAGGCTCTGCAATGTCAGTGGAAGCCTGCTTGGGATTCTCTCTCCTGCTCTCTCTGCCCCTCCCCTGCTGGCATTCCTTCTCACTCTCTCTCAAAAAATCTCTTTAAAAACAAGCATTAGGGGCGCCTGGGTGGCTTAGTCGGTTAAGCGTCCGACTTTTGCTTAGGTCATGATCTCGCGGATCGTGGGTTCGA